TAAAACCCCATGGACAGCTATGGTTCTTGGGAGTCACAGTACCTAACTAAGCAACAAGCAACTAAGGTGTGCATTTTAAGAATGAAGGACAGACAGTCTGTACAAAGGCACAGAGATGGAAGATGAAGGTCACATACCAGCAACAGGAGGCAGGCCAGTTTGGCTAGAAGTAGAATTTGTGAAGTGCAGTAAACCTGGAAAGGTATGATGGAGACAGATTGTGAAGGGTTTAAAATACCAAATGGGAGTTTGTGCCTTATTCTAAAGGTGAGAGGGGAAGTTTGGCTGTGCTTCTGACTTTCCCACCTTTACTCAGCTGCCTTCTTACTCCGGAACATCGTTCCAGCTCCCTCTTATGTGTGGCCTTTCCCTATTAGAACACAAGTTCCTGCACAGAGCATAGCGTCTAGCCCACAGTAAGCACTTAATGTTGGTGGGTTTACTGTCATCCTTTCAAAACCTTACCTCTACCTATCTTCCCAATATTCTTATTTACCATTCCCCTCTAAGTACACAAAAATCCAGTGACACTGGCCTCCTTGCTGTTCCTAGCACCAGGCTTTCCATCTCCTGACTATTTTCACTAGCTGTCCCTGGTAAAGAGAATGCTATCCCTCATCTCTGTCTCCTGGCTACTTAGAGTCTCAGCTTAAATCTCACCTTTCACAAGAGGCTTTTCAGTCTCTCTACCCCCAACCTCAAGCCTCTCCCCTGTAAGACTGCTTCCAATTTGCCCTGTACATATAAAATCTATGTACATAGTAGGCATAATAGGAACTTAACAAGTGCTTACTGGCTTATTTGCACACACACACACACACACACACACACCCTACTACTACCAAAGAGAGTTGTATGCACCTGTTTCAGACAGCAGAGTTAAGGAGGAAAAGGCAGCAGGCATTCTCAAATAGCTATGGCTGCTTACATATTTAATGATACTTTAATGCCTTTAGCCATTTTCATTGGTAAGTCTCCCCTTCATTCGTAACACCTCTTCATACTGCAGGATTTTTATCTATGTTGTCATTCTTTGGCCATAGCAACCCACTGTTATTGCTAGATGGAGGGCACACAAGGTGATTTGTGAGGATCTCAGAAAAGATAAAAAGCTTTCAATAAAAAGAATTAAGTGTAATAAAAGCACTGAAAGAAAAGACATTTAGGAAGCATATAAAGGATTAAACTCCAGTGTTAATCTCCACAAATGGAGTACATACTTGGCTTATCTGGAAAACCTCTGACCACTCAATTTTCCTACTCCTTTAACCCTTGCTCTGGGTCACTATCACCTTTCTTGGGTCATTTCCCCCACTTGTGAGTTTTCTGGCAACTTCGGCCTCTTCACAAGCATTTCAGTTAATACACATACATGCAGATGGAGTCCAAATCCAAATCTGGGCCCAATCTTTCCCCTGAACTCCAATCCCATCTCTTGCTGCCTATAGCTTATTTCCACCTCAAAGTCCTATCACCCTCTCAAACATGTCCAAAACTGATCACCCTCCACCTACCCCTTAAAAAAATCTGCCCTCCCACCCAAAGTTATTTCAACTGAGCACCACCACCACCTTTCAAGTTACCCAGGCACAAAGCTTTGAAGTACATTTGTCCCTTATCCTCATATCCAACGTGCTGTCTCAGATATTTAAGCAGCAGCTGGACAGCACCACAGTGATCCACTGGGGCCCCTTAAAACACGGACCTCAGAAGTAGAAAACAAAGCTTTAAGAAAGGGGTCAGAAAGGAAGGAATAAATGGGGATCAAAGACATTAACTTAACCTGAACATTTTTCCTTCTGTATTGACCCATTTACAAGGCCAATCAACCAACCTGTGGCCAAATGAGTTGAGTTCTATATGATTAGGTTACTGTTCTTTTCCTTTTCTGCATGATGGAAAGATCCTTCAATCTGTGGAAAGGAAGTAATGAGAACTCCTGAAGCAGTTGTTACAGGAAGTTGTTTGTTTTTTTAAGTGAAGAAAGGGAAGTTGCTAACCTATAAAGCTGGAATTTTCTTCAAATGATCTACTGCTGCCAGGGGCAGTAACATAGTTGCCTTCCTCTAAGACGACCTTTTAAATTCTGTGGTATGGCCAATGGAAAGCATTTTTTCCATCAAATGCTACTGTTAACAGGAAACTAGATACAGGTTTGCAAAGTGCAACCTTTGAAGGTGAAGCCTACAACATCAGACAGCTAAGTGGCACACCGGCCTTGACCCATGTTCAAAACAGATGTTCGGGCAGACCATGGCCGAGTCACTTAACCGTTATGTTAGTCTTAATTTCCTTATCTGTAAAATAGCGATAGCAATACTTACCTGTTAGGATTGTAGTGAGGATTAAATGAGCTAACGAAAGGAGTTTACAAACCTAACATATAAATGCTAGTCATTGTTTTATTAGGAGGGCACAGTGGACACGCAGGCCTAGGGAAACTCAGAAGCCCTATAGTTCATGCTATTGGGCAGCTACATGATACAGTGGCTATTGCTGGGCCTGGAGTCAGGAACACAGCTTCTTGAATTCAAATACGAACTTAGACACATGCTAATTGTGTGATCCAGGGCAAGTCACTTAACCCTGCCTACCTCAGTTTCCTCATCTGTAAAATTAGCTGGAGAAGGAAATGGCAAACCACTCCAGTATCTTTGCCAAGAAAACACCAAATGGGGTCACGAAGAGTTAAACACGACTGAAAGCAACTAAACAACAAAGGAGACAGACAAATAAGCAACTTACTCGCCGAAGTCGAGGAAAAGGAAAAAAATATGGAATCCTCATAATCAAAATCCAGATGACAGAATGAAGACTATAAATTTTGGGGAGTCAAGAAACCTTGTTATAAGTTTAACACAAGAGACAGAGGAAAACAGCACAGTTTGGCTATGATGCTTGTTTAAAAAACGTGAGTTTGTTCCAACATAACTGAACATTTATTCTGAGCATGAGCTTACTTAAACTTGTTTTCTTTGGAAACAGAAAACTGTACCTTTTCACAATAACTCATAAGCTGCAACCTTTCTGATGTCTACTTCCATAAGCATACTTCAGGTCTTTGTCAAAGTAAAGTGTCATATTTACAGTGTATACAATCGTACATAAAATGCCAGTACTATATATACTATACCAACTGATTTTGCTTTTACACATTCGAGGCATGGGCCTCAGATTGCAGGAACACATGAAGGCAGGACATGGAGTACCAAGTTTGGAGTGACCCTAGAAACCCAGTTTAGCTGTGAGAAGAGAAGGTCTGGGGGCTCTACTCCCACCCTAACACCATGGTGGAACCAGGGCAAAGATGAGCAGCAGCACAAGGCCTCAGACACCACCACCAGCACTTATATTTATTTCTTAACTGTTGAACATGCATCAAACTGTTATTGTTTCTTGTTAAGCACTATCTTTTTAAAAAATGTGTCATTAGTGAAGTTTTTTAACATTTAGAGTTAACATTTTCCCCCAGAAGCCTTGCGGTTAATACATGATTTTGCATATCTCATTGCTTTTTAGTAAAGCATGTGTGTAACTGACTGTACAGTTGAAAGAGTATTGCCTCTAGAGTTAAAGGATAGGGGGTTCAAATCCCGCCAACGTTTATCACTGGTGTGTCCTCGGGCCACTTAACTTAAGGTCTGTTTCCTCATCTGTAAGATGAAGGCGGGGAGGCAGCTAGGTGGCACAGTGGATACAGCACTGGCTCTGAAGTCAGCAGGACCTGAGTTCCAATTCGGCCTCAGACCAAACACTTGACACATACTAGCTGTGTGACCCTGGGCAAGTCATTTAACCCCAAATGCCCCCAAAAAAGAAAAAAAAAGATGAAGGGGTTGGCTAGATGGCCTGAGGTCTCTTCCAATAATGATAATCAATAATGTATAGAGCACATTTTAGTAAATGCACATTGTAGCTCTTAGTTTTATACTGATTAAGGTCCCAAGGAAGTAACACTTGTGACTCTTCTCTGAAGACCTCTGCAAGCATTTGCTAAGCATCTCAGAATTAGAACGGCAGTATGTCAGATTTACTGGAGAAGAATCAATTCATTTTTCATTTCCTTTCAGCTGCTGGAACTATTGTAGAAGTTTCTATTCTTTACTCAAATGTTAGCTCAAATACAGCACATGCTTGCAGTAACGGGTTTAGCTAGATTTGGAATCTTAGCTTTTTGTCCTTAAGCTAAGACAATAGTCTTGGCCTTGTTTTCCCAATAAAAGCTTTTCTAATTTACCCAACAATATCATTTCACATTTGAAAATGCCTCTGAGAGGCCCAAGCAAAGCTGGGCTATATCATGTCCTGATCCATCAACAGCTTTTCAAAAGTACAAATTTAGTTAAGGGACTGGCACCTCAGTTTCTTTGGAAACACTTAACTTTACACCTCTCTGAGAACTCAGTCTGTCTCTTTCCTCATTTCTGCCCTAACTTTCAGCCTTTTGTCTCCTTTAAATATCTTCTCTACCTAAAACTAGAGAAAATGATCTGGCTGGCTACTACCATTATTCTCCTTTTTTCCACTGACACATGAAACAGCTGCAGTCCTATTCACAGCCATAAGAAGTAAAAATTTCCTATTGTTCAGCCATAACCAAAGGAAGATAACAATAACAAATCCTGAATTAATGGTGTCCCTTAAATTGGTCCAACTGAGAAAGGTACAGGTAGGACTTTGTATTATTATCTTGTATTTCCTGATGCCTCATCCCTTTACTCGAACATATCTAACCAAAAGGGTCTAAACACTTTTCAAACAAAAGAATGTAACTTTTCTGACATGGGTTTCAAAGAATTCACTGCATTATATAAGCAGGATTATCTAGATGAATTCAATCCAGACACGGCAAATTGCAAAGGTTTAAGAACAAAGTTTTGTCAGTAATTCTGTTACAACCTAGAGCTGCAATGGGAATGATGTGAAGCACTGAGAAACACCTGAGGCACAAAGGAAACACAGAGACATGGCTCAAATCAATGACTCTGAATTCTTTAACATACACACTTTAAAAATTTTATTTATATAAAAAACTCATTTGTTTTTAAAAGCGTTAACAAGAAAGAGAAAAGGGCACGGAGCAGAAGACATGTCCCATGGTAGTGTTCGGTGGGGAGGTGGGATTTTTGGTTCTTCTGGAATTGAATGTTTAGTGTTTTATAGTCACACAAAAAATTTAAAAAGGTCCCCAAAGCCCATATCTGTACTGATACCCACAACCCCACCGAGAAAACAAAAGAGCACCAGAGAAAAAGAGACAAAGGTGGAGGAGGGAGAGGGGGACCACATGGAGACCCAGTTCAGGCCAGGATCCACTCCCCTCTGTGCAGTGTGCGCGCTCCTGGGGTCACCGAGAGAGGAAAAAAGCTCCCCTCTACCAGCAGGGGGCGGGAAGGAAACAGTGAGCACCCAAGCTTTAGGGCAAGGCAGCTGGGCACTTCTACCCCAGCCCAATAATCACCACTTGGGGAGGTCTTCCAGTTGCATTGAATGTGGCTTTGAATTTTAGTGAGAGAGGGATAAGGTTTAAAAACAAACAAAACAAAAAACCTTAAACCACATAGCAGCTGACTCTTTTCACTACCATGCTCAAATGCACTAAGCTAGAGGGGTGGAAGAGAGCCCAGACTTTCCAGAAACCCTTCAGAGATGATGCTGAAATTTGGGGATCATGTCTCATAACTTTCCCCTGCCCCCCCACAACATTTTAAGATTTATCCAAGTAGGATTATTGCTGGAAATCCCAACTTTCACTGCTGGGTATAAGTATGTTAAGGCGGAAATAAAGGTTCATCCTCCCCCAGACCAAAAGGATAATTTGGGTTCCTCCAGGCCCTAAGAGCCAATCACTTGAACTCCCCTCAGTTTCAATGGGGAAGCAACAAAATCTAATTTGCAAAATCATTGGAAATGAGGCTGCTTCGGCAAAGAAAGGCACGTGGGGAGGAGGGGACCACCCCAGGCCAAAGGCACATGGGAGAGGCAAGGCCAGGGCAGCCCCCCTGCACAGAATGAGGAAGGGCAGGAGTTATGTACATAAAAATCCTTCTCTTGGCCAACCAACCCCAGGGTAAAGCAAAAGGAGAAGGGAAAGATAAAGGGTTAAACAAAAAAAAGGAAAGAAAAAAAGAAAAGCTTTAAAGCCTCCCACCTTAACTTCAGACCTTATATACATTCCTCCCTGCTCAATAGATGAGGGAGCTGATTGATTTGTTTTGTATGACCTCTTTCCCCTTCCACACTCTTCCAACTCACTCCCCCCAAGAACATTCCCTTAACGGCACAGCCTGATTTCCCTTCCTAAGACTTCTGAAGCAGATGTGGCCATAACATCTGTGGTAGGATGAGGAATGAAGGGTAGAGACAGGCTCAACAAGGGGCAGTAGCTACTCACTAACAGTGAGTTAGAGTCAAAAGTCCTTTGATGGTCCCTGCCCTGGACATGCAGGAAGAAAGGTCTACTCTGAAGGATCCCTTGGTGAGATGCCTCTTTCCCCAAATGGAATGTGCCAATATTACCAACATTCTTTGCTTCAAAACCAAAATATCCATTAGGAATGGGAGAGAAGAACAAGAATTCATTCCTTGCCCATTAAAAACAATTTTCCTTGCCCACCAAAAAAATATTAAAAAGAAAGAGTTTGTCAAAACATGAGAGCTTTGATAGACACCATATACACTGAAACCAACTTCTAATTCTTCCCATGGCTTTCGATGAAGAATCTCAAACTTTCTCCCAACCTCCATATAGGACCAGCAGTTCTAGGGAGAGCTGGCAAAAGAAATAATCTGCAGCAGTTTCTCAAGGCAGGAGAAATTGAGGCATCCTATGCAAATGACTGAGTCAGACTCCTTAGGAGAAACCAGGGTCAGGGAGGGAAGGGCAGGCATCATTGGAAGAGGCTGGGGTTGAGGAAAGGAAGGCAGCCCATATAGGGCCAATAGGGCAGGAGGCAGCCTGGCAGTTGGCACAAATGTCCAGCGAGGGAGGGGGTAGAATCATCAGTCCATTTCACCACCAAAAAATAAAAGTACATATATTATAAACCCAGATGAAGCTTGAAACAGTGGTGCTAAATCTTCTGCTGTAGAAAAAAAAGAGAGAGAAGAAGTTAAAAAGGTTGGTAGTGAATACAGCCAAGAAGATGTAAATCTGGATAAAAGAAAGCAGCACACAATGGAGGGTCAGATCACCAGCTGAATGTCCCAGCCTCCCAGGGCCACGATCATCACAGAATCCCCAAAGCCCCATTATGGTCAGAGGCATTCTTTGGTCAAATCTAATCAGTTTGATTGACCCACTGCTGGCACAAAAATGCCTGATTTGAGAAGGACCTCACATGTGGCTGAAGGACATACCATGGGGGGATAAGCCAACTGGTCCCCCTCATCATCCATAACCAAAACATCCAATTCTTCCTCCAGTGATTCCTGCCCTTCCTCCTGCTGTAAACACATGCAACTTGTTAGTATGGAAAGTAAGGTGACAGAAAACCATGTTAGTGTGTGCCAAACCCTAAGCAGGTTTCAGAACTTCTGAAAAGAGCAGTAATGGAACAGAAAGAGAGGAATGAACTTTCACAAAATGGTAGTGGCAGACAGAGGGAAAGCATATGGGATATGAAGATCAACAGATGAGGGTGGAGTTAGTCATATAAAAAATGTGCCTGCAGTAATCTTTTCCTCATCTTCAATATCTCACAGAGGGTCCAAGAAACCTCAAAATGAATAAAAGCAGATCTCTTTTCTTGAAGAGCTTACTAAATCAGAAAGTTTAGTGAGTGTGCTTTCAAACAAACAAACTGGAAAAAAAAAAAACCCTCCCTAGAGGGATAAAAAACAGACTCAAACGACAGGGTTATAGGATTGAAGAAATAGTTACCATTAAGGGTGTTCCTTTCAATGGTTCCATTTCACCCAGGTCCCCAGATCGGTCCAGTGTCCTATTGTGGTCTCCCCTTTCATTCAATGTGGCATAATTATCTGACAGAAAAATCACAAACAGATGTAATATCCCCGGCTAGGATCTAATCAAATACTCACCAGGTCCTTTTGTGTCCTATGCTAAACAAATACAGACTGTCTGCCCTCATTTAGCTCAAAATATATTTGGGAAAATAAGACTACTTTCATTTAACACTTAGTATTTAATTTTTATATACTGTCTTGTATTGTTTTCTAAATTATTTATCATAGACTATAAGTGTGATAGTAGTTAGTAGTGAGGGGCAAGTCACAGATTAATTCACAAAGAAGGAACTTTAAGAGTGTCCTATGAATATAATTTGGCGAGGCAAAGAGAGGGTACAGCATGAGCAGGCATACTGAAGAAAAACACAATTTGATGTACACATTACAATAAAAATGGGAAATGAGAATGGCTAGGGAGAATGAAATCAGCCATGGCCTTAAAAACCAGGCAAATCAGAATAAATTTTATACTACTAACAATTAGGAGGTAAAGTTCTCCAGAGTCAAACCAACTGTTATGAGAAAAGATGAAATAGAAAGAGTATATAGAGCTACATAGCCTCCCCTAACCCTGATGAAAACCTGCTTTCCTTATATGGGAGAATTAAAAACAAGAATCTTACCTGATGATTTCGTATTTGGACCCATGCTGCTCATCTGAATTTCCTCCCGGTCAGGTTTTTTATCTAATAAAGTCAAAGTGTGGCATGTCAAAAGCCAAACACTGAGCACCCTTATTTCCAGCTGTTATTTTTTTTCTTTATTAAATGTAAAAACTTAACCTCGAATCTTGACACAAACTATTAACCACTTGAAATCATAATTCAAATCACTAATAAAATAAATGTAAATCAAAACAATCTTGAGGTTTTACCTAACACTACAAACCAGCAGTGATTACAGAAAATGGCAAGAATGTTGCAGAAGCTGTGGGAAGATAGTCACACTGGTGCATTGCAAGTGGAAGTATGAATCAGTTGCTACCATTTTGGAAAGCAATTTGGAATTACTCAAATAAAGTGACTAAAGTGCCCATTCTTTGACCCATAGATTCTATTTCTAGGCTTATACCCCCAGGAGGCCACTTATAAGAAAGTCTTTATACACACCAAAATATTTTTAGCAGTACTTTTTGAGACAGTAAAGAATTGGAAAGAAAGTAGATGCCTATTGACTGGGGAATGCTTAAGCATACTGCGGTACATGAATGTAATGGTAAATAGTACTGTGCTATAAAAATAACTAATATGACGAATACAGAGAAACATGGAAAAATTTATATGCACTGGTGCAGAGTGAGGTAAGCAGAGTCAAGAAAATATATACGATGACTATGGAACAATGTAAACAGAAAGGACTGCCCCATACCAAAAAAGTGAATGTTACAAAATTATCAGAACAAGCATGTCTCAAAAGAAGAGATGAGAAAATACTCCCACACTCCATCCTTTTGCAGAGGTTGGAGGTCAACAAGTGTTGCATATATTTCCAGACTTTTTTGATGTATTGATCAGCTATACTAATTTTTTCCTCTTCTTTTTCTTTTTTGTCTTTAAAAAATACTATTTGTTATTTGGGGTGGCTCTCTGGAAGGATGAGTAGGGTTAGTAAGGGAAACTACAATTGAGAAAAAAATAAAAGACCAATAAAAAACTTATTTTAAAACAGAAATCATTGAGATCCAACACTTGGGTATATTCCCAAGGGAATTATTGTGTCAAAATCTGAGTATTTTTGCCATTTTTATCGAGTATTTCTAGATTCTTCGCAAAAGTTTCTGCAAGTCTGAAATTCCATCAATAATATACATGTTTCCTTACAACCTTATCAGCTTAGAAAGTTTTTTTGGTTTTACTTTCATCAATTGGGTAGTGTGAGATTGTATATCTATGTTGTTTTAATTTGCATCTGATTATTAGTGAAGGTTAGCGTGCTTCCAAGCCATGATCTTATATTTCTTCTTTTTTTTGTAGTGACCATTATGCACTGGGGGTTATAACACAGTTGACTGTCACTTTTATTCATGTGGAAATAAGCCTTTACTGCAGCTTAAAGGGACTCACGTAAAGGATAACAAATCTTAGGCTAAGAAGTTTCCCAATATAAAAAAAAATGCATTAGTTCATGAAGCACACTAGCATAAAGGGGTTCTATAAATCTAGGATTAAACCATATTAGGGTCAGTAAGAGGTGTCAAGTAGGAGAACTAATAGCTTCTCCTTCATAAAAATGGTAATTCATCAGAGCAGACAAATATGTTTGTGTCAAGCTAATTCTCTAGTCAAAGAATCACCCAATCTTCTGCATGCATAAGCTCCAGTTTTTAAACAATAAACAAAACAAAGAAAAATAGTCTAGACTACGAAGAAAACTGTTGTTCTAGTCTCTAATGAAAGAGCACTGTGCAAAGCAGTACGAATAGATTGGGGGTGGGGTGGTGGTATTCTTTTTCTTACCTGATTTTTGGTTCCTGTCAATAAGAGGGAGGGTGCTATCATCATAAGACTGGTTACTTTGGCTCCGAGAAGCACTATTTAGATTGACCTGGAGACAAATGTACAATATGTACATAAACTTCAGAGTTTATAGTACCACCATGTCCTCTGTAGCACTATTCCCAAATCTAACTCAACTTCATTAAAATCACAAATAAGTAGGGAAATTAGCAGACCAGATAGCAAAACTATCCATTACAAAAATATATCTGGATAAGACTGGCAGAGATATAATGGTATTTATAAATAATTTGGTCAAACAGTTTCAATGACCACTTCTGTGACCTAAATTGAATTCTTATCTGCAGAGTAATACATAGCTTTGTTGAACTGCAAGTTAAAAAATAGGACTGAACCAACTTTTTCATTTCCTCTACTGCAATACAGACATTGTTTAATGGTATAAATGTTACACTGGGGTTTAGTTACTTTCAAGGCTACCACAATATGAAAAAATTGAGAATGATCTCTCTCAAGAGAGGAAGGAACTGACAAAGAAAAACTTCTGCAAAGAGTTATAGAGAATAATTACTTTAAAAACTACTGGTGGAGTCTCAAACGAAGAATAGTCATTTTGATGGGAGGAGAAGAAGGAATACAGTGAAAGAAGAATAGGCAGTAAGTATAAGCAACTGTCATAGTCCCTAGAATGTTCAATACCTGAAAGTCTGATTTTTTCCACCCTTCCTTCTCCAGCGGCTTCCGAAGTTCCTTGTACCCCCAGACTGTCTGTAAGACAAGTGCTGCTGCCCGAACCTCCTTTTCTGATCTATTACTACAAAGAGAAAGAGATAACAAAACAAGACTTTGGCATGAAACCAGGAAAAAAGAAGACAATCCTTCTCTCCTTCTCAAAATATGGAGACTATATGAATACATGCACAATGGGTTAGGCCTGTTTTGTTGATTTAATCCAGTATTTGGTCCCTGACAGTGGTACTAAAGAATGTGGGGGACCATAGAGGTCTCCATGACACCTGCATCTACCTTAAAAGGTACTTTTTCCTTTAACTAGATTTTGGGGAATGGAACAGCTCAATTTACTGTGTGAATGTGGGGAGGGGAGAAGGTAGGGCTGTTGGGATGGTGGTGTTTGAAGGTGGCACAGAGAAGGGCCAAGGAACAAAAGAAAAGGGAAACTTCTCTTGCAATGGAGGTCAAGACAAACCCCGCCTTGTTGATCAGCACTAGTTTCTCAATGCCCTGTGTCTCTCGGAGTTTCTTGGCAGCCTCCAAGTTCTCTGCAATAACTTCATTGATAGTATTCAGAACTGAGACCACAGTATCCTCTGAAAAGTTGCGGGAAGAGCCTTGCTGACCACTTGGCAGGTTCTTTACAAGGTTGGGGATGGCATGCTTCCCTGTAACATCGAAACAGAAGACAGATGAGGAAAGCTGCATCTAAAAAGGCCATTGACTACTGTATTCAGCTACATTAAACATATGAAGCTATAAAACACTGTTCCAATTAGATGTTTGTTCCTCCAGAATTAGGGCAAGGGGAGGAGCCAGAGGGACCATAGGTGTTTTCTATTTTCCTAAGTCTTCGTCCTCCTCCCCTTCTCCAGGCTTTACATTATCTTGAGAACAGTTGATTATCATACCACAACCCACTTCAGTTAGTGCCATTACTTCACAAGCTTATGAAACAAAGATTCTTCTCCCTGGCCCATCTCACCGATCAGTTCCTTATTTCGTGCATCCACAGCCAGATTACGTAGCGCTCCAGATGCAGCTTTCACCACTCGTTCATGCTCATTGGTCAAAAGGTCAGCTATGGCAGAGAGCGCCTTCTCTTGGCGCAGTGCTGAACGGATATACCGGCCATACTAGAAAGTATCAAATCAATAAGTATTTTATTAAGCACCAACTATGTAACAGGAACTGATTAAGCTTTAAGGATCTGAAGACAACAATGTAACGGTTCTTATCCTTGAGGAGTTAATATTCTAACAAGGGAGAAAACAACGATAAGTAAAACACATACTATGTATATATATATGTAAAATGGATAGAGGGAGTTTTGAGAGGAATGGACTAGTTACTACTGGGGATGATCAGGAAAGGCTTTTTGTATAAGGTGGCACTTTGAGTTCAGTCTTGAAGAGGCAGAAATTGGGAGGGTTAGGGAGAAGGGAGGGGATGGAGGTAGGGGTGGGTAAGGAAATATTATTTATTGATGGGGGAGGTGGGGAATGACAGTAAGACCTGAATTTTAGGAAAATCATTTCTAGTGGCTATGAGGATATGTGTTAGAGTAGGGGAAGAGGCTTGAGGCAGGGAGACCAAATGAAGTTATTATAGTAGTTGAAGTGTGAGGTGATGGGGATCTGAATTAAAATGAAAACTGTGTGAGCAGACAGATAAAAAGAGACAGAAACAAGATTTGGTAAATGAGAGTAAGGAGTCAAAGTAACACTGATATTGTGAACCTGGACAACTGGAAGGATGGTGATGCCGTCAGGGTATGATAGAGAAGTTCAGAAGTGGGGTGGAAGGTAGGGAGGGGAAGATAATGTGTTGTTTTGTAGACATATATAGAACATCTGGTTCAAAATGTCCAACAAGCAGTTGGGACTCATCTGGGAATAATCTGAAGAGAGACAGTAATTAAAATCACTAGAGCTGTTGCAGTAACAGAGAGCATAGAGGTCCCGGAATGAAACATGGCTATACCCACAGTTAAGGAGCATGGCGTGGATGACGAACCAGCAAAGGAGAGTGAGGAATAGTCATACAGGTAAGAGAACCAAGAAGGTAGTGTCAGTCAGCCAATGAATATTATGAAGCACTTCCAGTGGGCCAGCACTGTAAGAGCTGCGGACACATGGAAAGCAAAACAACACACACACCACCCCTGCCTCCAAGAAGCTCACGTTCTAAAGGAGGAGACATGCAAATAACTGTCATCTACATAGACAATACATATACTGTAAATGGAAGACAACTGTAGAAGAACAGGCCACCAGGAAGAGACTGCTGCAGAAGGCTGCCTTCGAGCTGAATCTTGAAGGAAGCCAGGGAATTTAGAAATCAGATGGAAGGGGGATAAACATTGCAGGCCTAGGGAATAGCCACAAGTTCTTGGAATCACAAGATGGAGCATCATGTGAGAGGAACAGTAAGTAGGGAAGAATGGATGGATGACAGAATACAAGGAGGGGAGTAAAGTACAAGAAGACTGGAAAGGTAGGAGGGGGCCAAGTTGTGAAGGGCTTTAAATGCTAAAGGGAGGATATATTTTATCCTAGAGGTAAATAGGTAGCTACCAAAGTTACTGAGTAGAGGGGGTACCATGGTCAGACTTGAGTTTCTGGAAGACCACTTTGACAATAAAGAAGTGGTGCGGAGGAGAGACTTAGGACAGAGAGCTCAACTAGAAAGATACACAACAGTCCAGGCAAGACATGATAAGGGGCTGTACTAAGCTGGTACTTGTAGGGGGTATAAATGAGACATGTTGTAAAGGTGGAAACAATTGCTAGCAACAGATTTGATTTGTGGGGTAAGTGCAAGTGAGAAGTCAAGTTTGGCATCAAGGTTGGCAGCCTGGGTGCCTGGAAAGATGGTGGTGCCCTCTACAGTAGTAGAAAATTTCTGAAGAGACAATTTTGGGGGAAGCTCTGTTTTGAACATGTTAAGATGCCTAATAGTGGAGGCAACCTGCCTGAGAAGACATGGAAGAGGGGTTTGCTTTAGCAAGGTGAAGGGCTACCTTTTCATTCAAAGCAAGAGTGAAGGAGGAAATAGTGAGGGAAGATGTCTGCTTGCTATGAGAAGAGAAGGGGAGAAAAGAGAGTTCCTGGTAAATGGTCTCAAATTTTTTGGCCAAGTATGAGGTCCTCAGCTGAGGTGGGGGAAGGATAATAAAGTTTTATTGTACACGTTGAGAAGGATGGTGAAACAATTAGGACTCTGCATGTAAAACAACTACAGTGTTACAGTGAAGACTCAGTTGAGATTAAGTATCATAAATTTGTAATGGACTCGATAAACACTTTTGAATTTTTTTCCAATTTTCATTCAGCAACACATGAATAGGAGCAAAACAGGCAAATGGTGAAAATACATAAGGTCAAGGTTTTGCAAGTCACAACTGGCAACAGAACATAAAAACTTGGAGTCAAGAAGAGTAACCAGGAAGGTAACAAGGAGGAATAAGGTCAAAGGCTCCTGAGAAGTCAAGGAGGATGAAGCTCAAGAGGAGGTCATTACATCTAACAGTTAAGAGCTCATTTGGTAACTTTTAGGGAATAGTTTTAGTTGAGTGATGAGGTTGGAAGCCAGATCATAGGGGGTTTAGGGAATGAGAGGACAAGAAGTAAAGGAGTTTGGCTAAGAAAGGACAAATATAAGAGCACAGCTAGAATCACTTTAGTGGTGATTTAAGGACAAGGAAGTATGTGTGTATGTGTGTATGTGATATTATAATCTGCAAGACAGCTGAAAGAACATGAGGAAAAAGCTGGGGGTTATGCTATATATTATAATCTCCTTTTTTTCCCTCCTCTAAATCCATTCCATTAAGGTTACTCACTGTCCAGCGGCCAGCACACAAATTCTGGATGGCTCCAGCTGAGGCCTCCAAAATGGCAGGGGTCCTGCTCTCCTTAAGAAGAGAGATATAGATACGGACCACCTCAGGCTGAAACAGAAGCTCATAGCCTGCACGGGAGAGGGAGAAGAGATATTAGAATTCCCTCCCCTAAAAGAGTTCTCACATTGATGGGATATGACTGTGAATACAATAAACCACACTAAACTTCTCCAATTCAAGAGGCAGAAAACTCATGTAACCGCTTCCATTTCCTCTTGGGAGTTAAGACTTCTAAACTATAAGTGAGTAGCCTAGAACAAATGCTGCCACAGGAAACAGTCATACTCTTTTCTTCCTTCTAACACTTCCCTCTTTTTTTTAACCGCAGGAATATATGTCTTAGGCCTATCAGTGAGACACTTTTAGGAATTGTTTACTCCCATTTTATTTGTGGAACTCGAAGCTGAAATAGTCAGTGACTATTGGTATTTGGTCCTAACTCACCTATTTTTTAAACCAACCATGTCCTGCCTTCTACCCATTCTTACACTTTCCTTCCTAATAGATATATGTTGTCCAATAAATAAACTTCAACATCTGGTCAACAGAATGAGCTAAGAACTGCTGACGAGTTTTGTGTTCTAGGGGCTTCACACTTCCAAATCAACTTTAATAGCTTAGCTAGAAGCCATTTGGAATTATTTTAGGATCAATACTAGTGTTGTATCATTTAGTAGGTAGAACCATGGCAGAGTAGAAAGAATATTAGCCTTCAGATCAGAAGATGGGTGTTTATAACCCATCCAGGCTGTAAAACTTAGTAAGCTACGTGTCTTTGTGCAATTCACTCTTCACAGTGACTTAACTGATGTTCTTCCAACTTCAATTTCCTAAATTGTAAAGTGGGGTTAACAATTAAACATTATTTCGAAGGTATATTGTGAGAAAAGCTCCTGGGAAACTTCAAAAAACTTAAAATCATAAAATGTTGATCACCATCATTTCAAAACGCATAGATCTGAAATGAGAAAGAGGCCAAATTCTGCATGAAATTTACTAATCTATCTACAAAACACTTCAGAAACTGTGTTGATAGATCACTGCTTTAGGAGTCAACAAATCTTCATTTAGTGCCTATTATGTGTCATCCATGAGATATAAACAAAAAGAATTCCTATTCTCAAGGGACTTATATTTTATAAGGGAAATAATACAGACACAGAAATGCATAAAATATATACAAAGGAAATACAAGGAAATTTCAGCGGCTGTGGGGAGACACTAGCAGTAAGGGGTGTAAATCAAAAAAGGCATAATGTAGGAGTTGGCATTTCAGATGAACTTTTTATATTAAATTTATTTAGTTTCAGTTTTCAGTATTCACTTTCATAGGATTTTGAGTTCTAAATCTTTCTCCCTCTCTCCACTCCCTCCTTCCCCAAGACAGCATACGATGTGATAGTGTCTATACATGTACTTCAGAGAGGACTTTTAAAAAAGCTTGGGGATTCTAAACGTTAGAAGTAACGAAGGTATGCATTCCAGTTATGGGGTATAGCTTGTACAAAGGCATGAAAACAGGAGCTGGAATACTGTGTATGAAGAACAGCAAGTAGATCAGTCTGGCTGAACCACAAAGTTTGTGAAGAAGTGTAATGTGTAATAAGAGCTGAAAGGTGGACAAGTGTCAGATTGTCAAAGGTTATCACTGCTTGAAGAGTTTACATTTTATCCTAGAGGTAAGAAGGAGCTATACAAGCAACCTAGTCAGACCTTCAGCACAGGTGCTTCTGCATTATCAGCTTGGCACTGGAGGCAGCTTGATGGCGTAGTGGATACAGCACTGGCCCTGGACTCAGGAGGACCTGAGTTCAAATCCCGTCTCATACATATTAACACTTACTAGCTGTGTGACCTTGGGCAAGTCACTTAACCCTGATCACCTCACCCAAAAAAAAAAAATTTTAGTTTGGCAGTTGTGTGGAAGACATATTGGAGAGGAGAGACCAGAACCTGGGAGAACAAATAGGAGATGGTTCCAAATTTTTAGGATTCAAAGAGGGTTAAGATTTTCTTTTTTTTTTTCTTTTTTAAAGGCAATTGGGGTGAAGTGATTTGCCCAGGGTCACCCAGCTAGAAAGTGTCAAGTGTTTGGTCTGAGGCCGGATCTGAACTCAGGTCCTCCTGACTTCAGGGCCGATGCTCTATCCACTGCGCCACCTAGCTGCCCCTAAGATTTTCTAATAAAAGGAAAAAACTTACCTCGAGCAGGACTGGTCCTTTTGGGAAAATCTACTGTATCAGTAGTTGGATCCTCTATGGGTTTTTTCCCTTTATAAAAGTAAGAAAAGATAAAGGAAGATAAGAAACCGAGTACCCAAAACATGGCCTTTCTTCTTATTCTTCCCTTCCTCCACAGTGTGGATGAATGAAATATTCCTTCCAAACACAGTACATCTTTCTTTCTTTTCTTTCTTTCTTTTTTTTTTTTTATCAAAGTGTCTTTGGGGAATAAGCCAAGAGGCAAAGAAAGCCAAAGCTGCCTCCTAGCAGAGTCATGCAAAGACAAGGACAGCAGTATGGGCCATAGGTGGACACAACCTATAACTATTACCACAGCCTTAGGTGCTGCCAGGAAATAGCATGCCAAGAGCCATTAGTTCAACCTATTTCATTGGGCTCTCCATACTATATTTCCCCTGCATGCACCCAAAGGAAAGGATTAAGAGGGAGGTGCTAGAAAAGCTAAAATCATAACATGCATATTAGATATAGGCAAGTCCCTCAAAAGAATCCACTCACCTCTGGAGAACCACTCATCTTCCAGTGCAGCACCCGAAGTGGAGAGAGGAGGAGAGACAGAAAGGGAAGAAAATGCAGGAGAAGGATGACAATAGGACCGCAAATAGGCAGGAAAGCACAGATGGGAACAAGAACACAGGTGAAAAGGGAAGAGTTGGGGACAGGGGGTTCCCCAAATTAGTAGGATGCTCTTCCCATTACCACTAACCCAACCATAGTCATCACCACTCCCAGGACAGCAGGGACACATACGCAACATAGGGGAAATAGCCGAATAGGGATGCTATTGCAACATTCCAATCATCCAGATCCTGAGCTGCTTGCTTGTGGTTTGCATCAGGGGATGAGAGGGTTCTTTGGCTAATCATTCCCACAGCAGAAGCAAGGACTAGGAGCTGGACCTCACCTTTGCCCTTCTTAGACCCAAAGCAGCTGGCAGCATGAGGCCCTGTGTTGTTGGCAATGTTAGGAGGAGCTTCCTGGTACCGTTCTGCCTGTGGAATCTCTCGATGGACTTGATATGACAGGTTCCGTAGAAGGCAGACACAGTTCTCCACCAGCTGAGGGAATGAGGTGAAAGGCTCAATGAGGGGACAGAGAATAGCCAGATCAAGAGTACAGAGAATTGACATATCCAGAAGAGGAGGTTAATAGTGATCTAAGTATTAAGTACTACACCACCAGGCCTCAAGAGGACTGCCCAGGCCAATGCCTCTGGAGGGGCTGTCATAGAAGTGCTGGTCCATTCTTTTGTGGTATGAGCAACAGGAGTCTGAATTAGCCTGATCACGGAGCTGCTTGCTTGCTTCCTCCCTCCTCCCCATAAAAAAGAATACTCTATTTCCTAACCACAAGGTAGGATACCAACTGTTACATGAGGAACGGAAGCCATTCATTTTCAGAGGATCCTCATTCTATTTCTCCTAGGTTATCAAACCAGTAATAGAGAACAAAGATTGTTGTATATGAAGTTATTCAGGCACAGGTTGGACAACTGAGGTCTGCCCCTCTAGGTCCCAAATGTTCCTCTGAGGAAAGTACCCACCCCATCCTCTTCCCCAGTCCCATCCTGTTCTATTTTTTTTTTTTTTTGTACCTTGCTGTCTGAGTCCTTCTGCCCAATCTCTGCCTGAACAATGAAAATCAGGGCATCCACCAATCCATCACACTCCCGAAGTTTTCTACGGGCTTCACTTCGTTCCGAACTGACATTCCTGGGGGGAAAAGGGAGAGTCTAAATTCAGAAATTCTCCCCTCTACTTTTTTTGAAATCAGTAAAGGGTTATACAATAACAAACAGTTCTTCCTTCCTAAGCAACCAGTTTAAATAACTACATTTGTATTATTGTAGAACGGAATACAAATTTAGCTATTTTATCAAACAGAGGGTAACATGGTCAGATCTGATCTTTAGAAAGATCAATCTGACAACTGAGTAAAGAAAGAACTGGATTGTGAAAAGACTTATGTTAAAGGAGACCAACCAATCAGCAGGCTAATGCAATAGTCCAAGCATGGTGTGATAAGGGGTGAGAGTGAGGAGTTGAAGATGACACCTAGATTGCAAGTTTGAGAAGATAGCGATGACCTCCTTTATCTAAAAAAACTAATCTCTACCTCTAAAACTGTGTTTGCTCAAAGATTTTTCACTATGTACTTCAACTACTCTTCCCAAAGTCATCTCTTTTTTCTTTCTTTTTCTTAAGGCAATTGGGGTTAAGTGACTTGCCCAGGGTCACACAGCTAGTAAGTGTCAAGCGTTTGATCTGAGGCCGAATTTGAACTCAGGTCCTCCTGACTTCAGGGCCGGTGCTCTATCTACTGCGCCACCTAGCTGCCCCCAATGTCATCTCTCTAAGCACTACTGCCATATCACATTCACGTCAAGGTAATGGAGTCCAAATGTGGCAGTTTTACTAATGGTACTAATTTGAATTGATCACTATAGCAATACTGGCAGATCTTTTTCCTCTTTACATCTTTTTGTTATCCAGTTTTAACTACAAACACTGTCTGGATGATCTGGTGAGGAGGTATTGTTCAACCTTCTATCTTACTCTAGGTAATGTTTTACAAATTATCTCCTACTCTAAGAGGGCAGTTTAATCTCTTCACTTGACAAGGAGATTCAGAGTCTGCTGGACAGAGTTGTTTCTAGGCTTTTTCTCCATTTGGCAATTTCCAGCTGACTTTCAGTAGTGAATTTCTCAAGGAAACGGTGGTGTGTGCCACCACTTTTGCTCATTTCTCCTTTTTCAGAGTTAACAGCTGGTTTACACACATCAGTTTAGAACTGCATACCGTTTCTCTTTACTTGTATCTTTTCTTCTAATCTGTTGTCAATTTAGACTTTTATTGATCAGAATACAACTCAAACAGCTGAATCTGAAATGAGTCCCACATCTGTAATTAGTCATTTCCCATAGATATATTGGTGTCTAGAAAACATCTGACCTCATTTTTGGGGGGGGAGGGGGCTAGGCAATGGAGTTAAGTGACTTGCCCAGGGTCACACAGCTAGTAAGTGTTATGTGTCTGAGGCTGGATTTGAACTCAGGTCCTCCTGAATCCAGGGCCAGTGCTCTATCCACTGCGCTACCTAGCTGCCCCCTTGACCTCATTTTTTTTAATCTTGAACATTTCCTAAAATGTTTTTGCCATCATCTCCTATGCACACTAATTCTGGTATTGATGTCACCAAACACAAAGACATACATAACAGGTATCCCAAAAGTCTCAGTGCAACTTTAAGTTTGCATTAAGACTTTTTGAGACACGTTGTATACTGTTGCCAATTGAAATTTCTTCTAAGAGGAACCATTATGAATCATTATTCTATTTAGTTAGTTTGATTCTTTGGGTTTACTTGCCATAAGAATGTAAATAAGGATTTGGCACAGTTCTTCAAGTAGTATAACAACTTGCTAAGTCACTGGATAAAGGTTCAAGTGTTTGTGCACTGTCTTAAAAACTGTGCTTCTTAGAATGAGACACTTTTCCTGTCTCTATCACTCAATAAACACAAGGGGCCACCACAGTGAACTTTCAGCAATGAGTATCTCTATCGTTAGTAAGGTTGGTCGTCAAAACAACACGTTTGATGTGACGACTGTGCTCAAAGGTTTTCTAACTTTTATACTTCAGTGGCAAAGCCTTTCAGTACCAGAAAAGGAGTTTTGTGGAGGCTAACAACAAAATAATTCACATACGGATAGTTGTTATAGCATCTGTTGTTACCTGAGGCAGCCAGCTGTATTGGTGAGCACTGACTCCCATTCAATATGACGAGGCTTACAATCTTCATTGGGCTCTCTCTCCCAGCCAGAATGTGGGATGATCACTTCATCTGTCAAAGCATGCAGTGCGTGGTCTACAATCTCCATCTTGATAGAGTCATGAGATGAGAGGTTCCAAAGTGTCCCTGGCAAATAGAGATTATAAAGACCTAGTGAGCTACCTCTTCAGCACTGCTCACTCCATATCCCAAGACAGTGCTAAAAGAACAAACACAGGATTTCTTGTGCCCAGGATCCTACCATCATTCATGTTTTCCAAAAGTAAAGCAACTTGGAAGGAGGGAAGGAAGGGAGCAAACACCTTTTTTTCCAATCTAGAATAATTCCCTCTGAACATTTACTGAAAGAGGAATTACCGGAGCTAGTAACTCTCTTTTAGCCCAGTGCTTACCCGTGATGACTTCTGTAAGGTCCATGTCACGGGCCTTTCGAAGAAGACGAACAAGGGCAGGAACACCATCACAATTCTTTATGGCAATCTTGTTGTCCTGGTCACGACCAAAGGAGATATTCTTGAGAGCCCCACAGGCCCCATGGTGTACCTCCTTTTTAGGGTGGTCCAACAGACCCACCAACACTGGGATACCCTTAAGTTTCCGCACATCGGTCTTCACTTTATCGTTACGATAACACAGGTGCTGCAAATAGGCAGCTGCATTGGACTTGACAGCATCCAGGCGGAAGCCCAGCATGGCAATCACCTCTGGCAATTCTGGCTGCCTCCAGTTGGGAGGTGGAGGACCTCCCTTTCTCAGGCTGTCCAGACTTGCTAAACTTCCCCTTTCATGTTGTGCCAGGGGAGCCCAGTAGTATTGGTCTGGGGGCACTTCCTCACCAATTATATCTTCATAGCTCCTGAATGATTTTAGAAAAAGCAAAGAAAACATAAACCAATGTGATCTAGTCTTTCCTGAATGCACCATCTTTAAAGTATAAATTAGGGGTAGCTCTTGGCATTCCCAGATCTAACAGACAAACCAAGGATTTGACTTGCTTAACTGACAATGACCGGCCTCTCTTAGCATGTAGTACAAAGGACATTACTTTTTTAAATAATGTGTTAAGATGTGTTGTATCACTATCTTTATATAATTAATGTCAAGGCTCTAAGCAAAGACTTTCATTTATCTACTACTTATATAAGTAGCAAAGACCTTCCATGATAAATTAAAATCAGAAAAACCTGCCTTTAGGATGCATTTGAATGACATTTTACAGCTAATGACATCTCTGTGAATAAAGGAATGAGGCTAAACCTTAAACTCATACATATTTGAGGAAACAGAGCAGGCAGATAAAGCAATGATTGAAGGGTACATTAAAAAGCCTAGGAATGGAACTTACAATCACTAACTAGAACAGGATATAAAGTACTTACACAGGAAACAGCTGAAGAGTATAAGACCCCTTGGAATACTTTATATTCTACCTCCACCCTATTCTAGAAAATGTGGGAGGCCTAGAGAACAGCACAATCAAAAACTTCTTGCCATATCATATTAAGATCTGGCCTTCAAAGGATATGACCAGGCAGTTCTCAGATGAAGGAATTGAAGCCATCTATAGTCACATGAAAAAATGCTCTAAATCACTATTGATTAGAGAAATGCAAATCAAAACAACTCTGAGGTACCATATTACACCTATCAGATTCGCCAGCATGACAAAACAGGAAAATGATAAATGTTGGAGAAGATGTGGGAAAATTGGAACACTAATGCATTGCTGGTAGAGTTGTGAAACGATCCAACCACTTGGGAGAGCAATTTGGAACTAGGCCCAAAGGGCAATAAAAATGTGCATACCCTTTGACCCAGCAATAGCACTTCTAGGGCTATATCCCAAAGAGATCATACAAATGGGAAAAGGACCCACATGTACAAAAATATTCACAGCAGCTCTTTTTGTGGTGGCAAAGAATTGGAAATTGAGAGGATGCCCACCAATTGGGGAAAGGCTGAGCAAGTTGTGGTATGTGAATGGAATGCTATTGTGCTATAAGAAATGATGAGCAGGTGGACTTGAGAAAAATTTGGAAAGACTTGTATGGTCTGATGCTGAGTGAAGTGAGCAGAACCAAGAAAACGACGTACACAACAACAGTCACAATGTGCCATGACTAATATTGATAAACTTAACCCTTCCCAGCAATACAAGGATCTAAGACATCTCCAAAGACCTAGTGATGGAGAATGCCGTCCACATCCAAAGAAAGAACTATGGAAGTTGAATTGCTATTTTTTTTTTCTCTTCTGTTGAGTTTTGTTTCCTCTTTCTGGTGGTTCCTCCTATTGGTTCTAATTTTTATTTACAACATCACTAATGTGAAAGTATGTTTAATAGGAATGTATATGTATAGCCTATATCAGATTGTGCACAATCTTGGGGAGGGTGGTGGGGAGGAAGGGGGAGAAAAATTTTAAACTCAAAAGCATATGGAAGTGATTGTTGATAATCAAAACAAATTAGTAACAAAAAAAAAAAAGATCTGCCCTCAGTGTCTGTGTGTTACTTTTTATCACACTGATCACCATCTTTACACTTCAGGCTGGCAATCAGGCTGGAATATACAACTATGGTTCAAATCTGACTTCTTTTTAAGACTGATTCCCTTTCCATAACCTTTATTAAAATGCGGCACTCATTAACAACACAACTGGAATATCTGCCCACTAGCAATAGCAGTAGGCACTTTTCCCTTACACTGGCCCTAAGTCTAAAACAATGGAAAGTCAGTCCTTGGATTTCAGTACCAAAAACCAACCACTAGAGGGTGAAGCAGTCACACTATTACTTGATCATAACCACCAGGAAGAAACCCATTCCCTATCTGTGAGGTCATCTCATTCCATGACTCCCCCCTCCCCCCCAGGAGAAAGGAGAATCTATTGTTTTGTTCTCTTAGAAGAGGCCTACAGTTTATTAGGTACATTATTAGAGCCTCTTGATACTCAATGCTATGTTAAGATGTTCCGTGCCTGCTTCATAGAAGACAATCCCAACTGCTCAGTCCAAGAGTTGTATTTTTAAAAATCCCTAAAACTTCCTTAATTTTGCCTCCAAACATAATCCTTCCTCTTTAGAGGTCATTATCCCCTAAAGGTCAATAACCCTCAAATATCCTGCTTGCAGTCATCCTTGTTACCCTCATGTGACAAGAATAAAGTACTGTGAGTCTTGGTGTGGGCTCCCTGACCGTACAGCCTATTCATCTACCATAATAAAGACTTGAATAGAAAATAGTATTCCAATTTAATACATAAAATACAGTGTGTCTGGGAAATTGCTGAGACTCAACAAGTATATTTTTTATTGATAACAGGTTACCACTAAAACAATTATTACAGGCTAAAGGACTCACAGCAAAACTTCAACATACATAAATTCAAAGATTTATTATGAGCCTAGCATATATAAAGGCATATAAAGGAAAACATACATGGCAAATCACCTCAAACTCATTCTGAAATAAAAATTGAATGAGCTAGAAGAAACCTCAAATATTTATCATGTTTGTTGTTTCTCTTCATTGCCCATATGAACGAGGCCCAGTTCAATGATCCAACCTAGGTCACTCAGCTAATTTATGCATGGAGGTCTCCTGACAGCCTAGTCCAGTGGTTTTTTTTCTCATATGGTACACTGCCACATTGTTTAGACTTTGACCTCGTATTACTCTCCTAGGACCGGAACAGGAAGCAGCAGAATGTTCTTGCTAGACAAGCAGGTTCTTAATCCAAAACTATCTTGGCATACATCCATGGACTGGGCACAGAAATCCATCTCTTTACATAAAGTTTTCAATCCACTATAGGACAGAAAAAATCCTGGCGTCCACACCCTCCTAGAGTCAATCATTTCTCACTAAAGAGAAATTCAGGAAACAGACTGGTACCTGGGGCCAACGCCCTGGGGAAGATCCTTCCCAAATGACCACTACTCACTACTGTTCTAGGTGGCGGGATCTAAACCTCCCGTCCCTCTATGAATAATGGATGAGTCAGAGAGGAGGGGAAAAGATAGTCCAAAAGATAGGTGACTCAGGTTTGGGTAAGGAAGCCTCAGCCTTCCTTCTTTGACTGTTCAGTGAAATCATTTAACGCCATACCAAAGAAATCAGGATCAAATGCTTGCTTTAGAATGTCATGACCCTACGGGAGGATTTAACACAAACTGATAGATACAGTTTTAATCTTAAACTTACTAAGTAGCTGCTAAGTATAAGGCACCCCAGTTAATAATTGGGAATAGAAAAACAAAAGTAAAACAGTATCAGGTAGGGGGCAGCTAGGTGGTGCAGTGGATAGAGCACCGGCCCTGGAGTCAGGAGGAGCTGAGTTCAAATTTGACCTCAGACTCATGAAAAACTTACTAGCTGTGTGACTCTGGGCAAGTCACTTAACCCTCAATTGCCCCCCCCCACACACACACACAAAGTATCAGCTCTCAAGCTTAGGGCAGGGGAGAGGGACAGGTCATAATGGATCCAGACGCCATACTCTATAAGATTTGAGGAAGCAAACACAGTGATGGGTTCCAAGGAAGGCTACCCAAGCTAAAGCTTGAAGGTAACGATTATAAAAGACAGCCATGGGGAACACACTTTAAGGGCATTTGCATGTTGGGTTTGGGGAACAGTCCAAACTGACTTTACTTAATTCAGAGCATCATGGGAGAGGTCTGGAGCTGGAATGAAGCTTAGAGCCAAGCCCTAATTTTATAGATGAGGAAACTGAGTCTCAGAGAGATGAAGTAACTTGCCCATGGTCACAAAACTACTAAGGAAAGATGAAATATGAAGCCAGCTTTTCCTGATCCCAGGTCCACCATGCTCTCCACTCTGCCACACTGCCTAGAGCAAGTGAAGGTCATAGAGGACAAAAGCAAAAGTGTGGGATGGTTCTAAGAATGATGTCAGGAGCCCTAACACTCAGAATGAGCCAGGGTGGACAAGGAACACTAAGGACAACAACAACAACAATAAAAAAAAGTGTGTGTATAAGCTATCCTCATAAGAGGATCTAAGAAAGGACAGTATTGATGACTAAGAAGTATGAGATGATGGGGAAAATGGAGAGCTGTTGAACTTTCATTTGACTTAGTTTGTTTTTTTCCTGTTAAAGAAAATGATCTTGGAACTGGGAAGGACTGAAGAGAAACGGTGACAAGGAGCTGAAATACCAGATAAGGAGAAAGATAGCAAGAAAGCACTTCGATGCCTTTGATGACTGTAAACCACCAGGCCTAGATGAGCTCCACCACATGATACAGAAAGAACAGTCCGATATGATCAGCTTAGCCATTGTCAATAAAAAAGGAAAGCCAAACCGTCCCAGTTTCCAAACAAAGGCAAGAAAATGAAGCCTGCAATCTACAGGGTAGCAAGCTTGACTGAATCCCGGCAAAATTTTGCAACGTACAAGAGAGAGCAGGTGAATACCTAAAACGGAGCTGTATATCCTTGACAAGGTTATTAGATTGATAAACCAAGAGCTAATGCTAAATTCACCTAGATTTTTGCAAACACTTGGCAAAGATACTATACTTGTGAGAAAAAATGGAAAGATGAGGACTAAAAAGAAAACCAGTATAGGCAGCTGGCTTCTTATTTAAAGTAGGAAATGACCAGCACAGAATTAATGTTGGAAGTGATCTCATAGGCCAACTAGTTTAATCCATAAATGAATGAGCATCCCATCTATCATTATTCAGTCTTTGTCTGACGACTCAGTGAAGGGGTAGGGAACCTGTTTGCCAAAGCAGTTCCATTTGACTTAAAATAAGACCCTAGAGCTTTTTCCGATATATTGTTAACTAGCCCTACCTTTGTCATTTTTTTTATTGTGAAGTTGATTCTTGAACCCAAATTTGAGACATTTACATTTATCACTATTAAATTTCATCTTTTTCAGTATGGTCTAACACTCTAGCTGACTGAGATCTTATCCTTTGATTCAGTCACACCATTACTAAGCCACACTTCTAAGAGAAAGACGAAAAGGACTCATACGTGCAAAACATTTATAGTAGCCCCAAACTGGAAACTAAGGAGGTACGCACCTCTTGTCTAAGAGGTGATGGACATAAAATGCAGAATGAAACACTTTTTTGAACATAATCAATGTAGGAATATTTTTACTGGACTGTACATGTTATGAGATTTTTTCTTTTCTTTTATTTCTCAATGGGGAAAGGAGAGGTGGGAAGTGAGAGAAATAATATGCATATTTTAAAGGAAATTTTATGAATGTGAAAAGTGAGGCCCCAAACATAAACTCAAACATGTTCTCTAAGATGTGGTAATACCATAGAAGGTAGAAAAATGAAATTTAAATACATCAATGACTTAGAAATTTAATATCAGTAGAATAGATTTGGTAATTTCAATACAGTTGAAGAGATGGTCATTCAGCAAAGATGACTATCAAAATCCTTAAAATATTTGTAAAAGATCATGGCTACGATATATACATTAAATAATATAATGATTATTTTAAAAGTATGAACCTATCAATCAGATACAAGCATTTAAAAATCTGAACATTCAAATGAATAATAAAATTAAATGTTCTATGTTATAAGAGATAGCTCTCTGAAAAGGGAGGTGGGAAATGACAGAGGGGAAATTTTAAGCAGTGCAAAAACAAAAAAGATATCAATAAAAATCTAATAAAAAAAACAACAAAAGAAGGAAAAAGTTAAGGTCACAAAGGCTGTGGGAAGATCGGTATACTAATACACCATTGAATAGAATTATGGAGTGGCCAAAAACCAGTCTGAAAAGCAACTTGGAACTATGCTTTAAAAAAAAAAAAAAAGACACTAAAATACCAGTAACCTTTTACCTAACAACCATTTACTAAGATAGAAGAGGTGATACTATCAGAGATGTAGACTGAAATATGCATTTCCAGACAGTACTCCTGTATGGATTTGTTTTCCTGTTACAAAGGAGGGCTTCCCTCCAAAGGAGGGAAGACGAGTAAAGCATTGTGGGAGAAGCGTGGGTGGGTTCTAATTGAAATGTCCCCAAAAAGGCAAGAAAAGAGCAAAAGCGACACTTTTTAAAAAATACACAATACAGAACATGAAGTTCAGAAGGCAATTCAGACAATCAGGTCAGTTTTGTGACTATCATGTTAACATACACGTAATGTTAACATATACTTAAAACACCAACATAATAAAATCTCCCAATTTCATTCATGATTCTTTTTCTTTTCTTTGCATATGCTAATATACATGTTTCTTGATATTTACTAAGTTCCCAATAAAAGAAAAAATATATTTTCTTTTAAGAAGCAGAGAGAAGAACACTTCCAAAGTGAGAAGCTCTCATCTCACTGGACTAGCCTTGTAATTATACCTTAGATCGAAAAATATTTTGATAAGGACAGAACGATCACCTCTCAGGACTGTATAGGTGCATATTCCAGTGCTCCATTTGGGTAACTTACACTGCTCTGTATCGAAGCATAAGCACCAACCATAAGCTATCAATCATGACAACTATAGCCACAAAACGTTATCTTAACCAAATGCTGTCAGAGTCAACAATATGTCACATCTTCCCCTGCCCTGAAATCACAAAAGATTCTTCTCCAGATCTAGGCCTACCTGAGACGTCGGCGGGGGTCAGATGGTGTCCCAGTGCGGCGGGCAGTGCCGTAATCAGGCATCATACCATAGTCCAGATCGTCATAGCCCATACTACGCTGGTCATCCTCCAATCCATAAGGTTCTGGATGGAAGCGATGGAGATCCACACTACTTCCACCCACTCGAACTTGGGGCTGAGGCCCATAGACATCTTGTCGACTTGGAGCCCGATATCCCTCCATACTGGGACGGTACCGCTCCTCAATTCGAGTCACCCGGGACAGGCTACCATAGTTGTCACTGCCACTGGGGTAGCCATCCTCATAGTGCCGGCTGTAGCCATCTGGTGGATAATGGAAGTTCCTGGGCAGAGTGGCAGTGCCTGCCTGCCCCACATAAGGGCCAGGCCCCCCATTGCCATTCTTGCGGAAGTCACGGCCCAGAGTTTGGATATAATTGTTAGAAACTGAGGAGCCATCCACAGGAAGCCCATCTGGTCCCATTGGGACTGGCTGTACCGTTCGTGTTGTCACGGTCTTTACTACTTTCTTGACCTTGAAGGGCAGAGGAGACAGTCAACAGAACAAATTAAATGAAGGGAACCTGTCATACACTGATTTTCCTACCTTGCAAGGGCACCTGAGGAATGAAGACACCACTCAGGTAATAGCTATAGCTGTGAAAAAAGGTATTCTGGATCAATATTTCCTACCTTTTCTATTCACTATCTACAAAATTTTCCCAATGTCACACTCTCCTCAATTACAACCACCCGATACTCTCTCATCTACTTTAGCAAATACCCAAAAATCTAGTGGTAAATTCTCCCCCACCCTTCCCAGGTCTTCCTAAAGTGCCAACTCACTGTGGTCTCTGTTCGGCGAGTGGTCCCATCATCAGAAGTTTCCACAGAAACAACAGACATTGCTCCCTCTGGATCCTCTTCAGTGTAAGTCTCCACAATTGGCCCTGGTTCTTGCATCCTGGGGATGGTGCTATACAGAAGGTGACTATGGTCCTGTATGAAATAATGGGGGCAAAGTTACTATGATATGGCCCAAGTGAATACTGACATTAGAAAATCCAGCAAGAAGAGAGAATACTTCATAAACTCCAAAAGGTTTAGGATAGCAGTGCTTCTCCATATTTGGAATTTACACAAAGGCAAAGATGTGGTTTCTTAGAACCTCCTCACCTTCCTGGGACATCAACCTATTAACCCCTGACTGATAAAGAACTCTTTCAAGAGTAACCAACCCATAAGATCTTCTAAGGGACATTAGAAAGCCCTACTTCAGGGAACTCAAGTCATTGGTTCCGAGTTGACTGCCAGAGAGAAGCAGCTAGTTTTCTAGAGCAGAAGTAAAATTGTACAGAAAAGCAATATTTTAATTGAAGGAGACTGATTACAGGCAGTCAAGAGTTTTGCTCACCAAAGTTCATTCTCAAGTGTTCTTGCAAAGTCCCATTTAAAATCATTGTACCCAGGTGTAAGCCAAATTACCAATGTGCTTTCTAACAGAATGAGAAGGGAAGAAAAAAAGAACGTTGCAAGCTCTCTAAATTCTGAAGGAATTACCTGGGGCCCGTTGAGTTTCAAATCTGAAAATTTTTGTCTCTCAAGGTCAGCATCGCCCACAAACCGGCCGTTCTGAAATATATACCATAGGAACAGCTTACTACATTATATGGTCTTCCTATATTCTCTGAAATACAAACATCTCCTTTTATTACAGGACAAGATGATGTTACCACTCAATGTTAACAATATTGGCAAATGTGCGAGATTTGCATTCGGAAGGCCTGTATTTGAATCCTGGCTCTGTCACGTCACTTATTTACCTGTGTGACCCTGGACAAGTCCCTTCCACTCTCTAGACCTCCTTTTCTTCATCTGTAAAATGAAGGGAATTAGACTAAATGGCCTCTAAAGTCCCTTCCAGCTCTAAATCTAGACTTTTTATTATTTTAATTATCCAAATTTCCTGCTGTTTTCACCTCACTGCTAGAAATCAGAATCACACCTGCGATTTAGGTAGACCTGGAACTCTGGGACAATGCTGCTTGACAAAAGAGCCAGGAACAGGGAAAATGAACACATGTTCTCAATTTTGTGTGGAGGCCATGAAAATAAAGAGCCTAAAAGGACTAGGCTGGGTTTTCCCCAAAGAAACTCAATACACTGCTTCTATACCATCCTTACTCCCCAACCCTGTGGCAAACACCCACAATGCCCCTTATATGCAGCTCTTCGAAGAAGCAGAAACAGTACTCTTGTCTACCAGGTGTGAAGGAGAACCCAAACTGATCTCAAAAGTGGCACCAATCCCCACAATATCTCCACCACTGGTTTCTAAAACTACTGAACAGACTATGACCCTTTTTTCCTGGGCTGGAACTTCATTCTCTTCTAGCTACAGAAGAGAATTTTAAGGCCAATAAAATTCATTAAGCAGGGACAAAAAAGACCTGGCTACCTTGGAAGAAGCCCTTGTTCCATTATAAGCACGCTTCAGAGAGAGGAAGTAAAACTAGATTTCTTTCAGTAGAGAGGAAGGGTGTGGTTTTTTTTAACCAAGTAAAATTCAAAGAAAAGACTATACTTATGATCCTGGAATTCCCCACCATCTCACTGACTCCTTACCAGTCCTACTCTCCCCTCTCCACATGCATCTTAAATCAACCTTCTTTTTTGTTGCTTAAGAATGAGTCCCAAGCAAAGAGAAAAGAAATTAAGTGGCAAGATGGGGGTCCAGTTAGGTGATTTCCCAAGGAATCCATCCTCAGATGGAAATCACCTAAGTGGAGCCCCATCTTGCCACTTACTCTCTTGACCCCTCATTACCAAGGACTTTCTTTTCCATCTGCCTTTACACTCAAATAGAAAGTTAGTGGAAAAAAAAGTCCAATTGCTCCTACCTGTAGCTCTTTCAAGGTTTCATACTGCCTATCCAGCAACAACCCCTCCACAGAAAGTAAACTGGACAAAATCCCAGACAGATTGTATCACATCAGGACCAGGATAAAAAAAAGAGAAAACACTTCTCCTTCTGAATACCCTGAGCTGCTAAAGTCACACCACAGACTAGTAGAGCCTCCAAGGCTGCTGGCTGGCTCCTGTGGTTAGCAGGGTTGAATAGCAACATGGTATTTGCTTTCTTCCATTTTCCCTTTACTAGAACAGGAGTAGCCATAACCCTTCCTCACAGACATGAATTACGCAGTTAACAAGGAAAGAACGCAGGGCCAGCATGAAGTGGGAGGACACAGTTGGTGGACACAGACCTATCCCTGAGCACAGCGTGTTCCCTGAGGGCCGAAGTTAAGCTAAGATCACAAGCTGCCCAATTTCCCCAACCATTGAGACAATTGCTTCCTCTCTCCCTTGTACTGTCCCAAGAAAGCTCCAGAAGTTAACACCAGAGGAGTTAGAGAAAATAGATGGTTTCACTGCACAGCTCTGAACTGCAAGCTCTACCACTGTGGCTCTGCAACCCAAGCCAGAGATATCAGTGCAGCGGAACAGGCCAAAAGAAGGGTGCTCACCAAGGATGAGTTCACAGTCCTCAAAGCCGCCGCCGCCAGCTTCCCCTAACATTCAGTAGGTACCAACCCAGAAGATGCCTATTAACTGGAAAAGTTTACCATAAAGCACTGGCACCATGGACAGTCCATCACCATCAGAACAGCTTCCTGGAAAGAATCTCAGTTGCTCTGGTGAGCATCTCAAAGTTCTACCTGCCCATCCAAGGGGAGGAGAGGTTACCTGATGCCGGCGGGTGAGGGTGCCGTTGGCCATGATAGAGTTGGCATCCTGTGGTGAGACACGGACACGCTCCAGTTGCGCCGAGACGTGGCGCCGCTCCTCCTCTAAAGCCCGGGTCAGCTTCTCAAACTGTGCCTCTTGTTCCTTCACAGAGGCCAAGATGCTGGCGGTCGACTCCACCTCTGAGTCGTCCATGACCCTGAGGGACGGAGTCGCCGCAGGGCAGAGTAAAGGGGAGGTGGATCACAGAGGAAGGAGGGAGATAACCTCCCCCCTCACTTCACACCACTAGGAGGGGTAGGGGAGAAAGAAAAGATCAAAGATAAGAAAAGATAGAGATCATCAATCCCAGAGCCAAAGATGTATTATACCTTCAGGTTTGTACCACAGTACAGCAGGGAAACTACCACCAAGCTTAGCAGCCCATCACCAGTGTCTGGTCAAGCAGGATTACTCTTCTACTAGTTTCCCTCAAGACATAACAAAGAACTAAATATGGCTAAGCACCTTATACAGGTGATAGGAAACCAGAATGTGGCTAAAAGCTAGTCACTGATGACATAAAAGTTAGGTCTACTGTTTGCAAGTTCTGCCGATCTTAGCAGCATCACAAAGTTGCAACCTATAAAAATATACGTGCCATACCACCATTTATTACGGGGCAAACCTTGTCATGGAAGTAACCTCTATTAGGAAGGGATGGGTATCTATTCTTCTGGAATTAACCTGTCCTAGCCTTTATGATTAGAATTGCTATGGGGGGAGGGGGGGTAAGAGAAGCAGCTAGGTGGCACAGTAGAGCTCCGGCCTTGCAGTCAGGAGGACCTACAGTTCAAATCTAGAGGAGGACTTGAGTTCAAATCCAGCCTCAGACACTTGACACTTAACTAGCTGTGTGATCCTGGACAAGTCACTTAACCCCGACTGCCTCACTAAAAAGTGAAAAAAAAAAAAAAAGAATTGCTGCTAGGGAAGTTAAAAATTCCTAACTAAAGGGGTAGCTAGGTGGCGCAATGGATAGAGCACTGGCCCTGGATTCAGGAGGACCCGAGTTCAAATCCGGTCTCAGACACATAACACTTACTAGCTGTATGACCCTGGGCAAGTCACTTAACCCCATTACCTAGCCCCAAAAAAAAAAAAAAAAAAAAAGACCAAAAAAATTCCTAACTAAAATCCCAAAACAGAACTGGAGCTCTCTTAAAGTATTTCAATTTCCCATTAATCAAAAAGGGGTAAGAAGCAAAATGCAAATTTAGGGTTCTGGTTCTGAATTTTGATGTTCCTGGATCTGACAGCTTCACATTTAAGGCCAACATGGCCCCAGGCACGACTACTGCCGAGATAAACCAGGAAAACATTAACAAAGAAGGAATGAAAAGTATCCACAGAAAGTTTGTATATAAAAAAAGGCAAGTTCCAGGAATTTAGGCAGTAGGGAAATGAGCTTTAGAGTTCTGAAACACTAATTTGTGAACTGGAGACATCTCAGGTAATTGTCTTCAAAAAGTCAAATGAGAGACATTCCCTAAATCCTAATCTCCCAGTCAACATTGGGAAGTTTTGACAAGATTATTTCATATATCACTATTATTCCTTCCCCATGTGTTCGCATCTTGGATAAATTACTAAATATCAATGGACCCTGTAAGGTACCTAAGTGTTATTGCCCCAATAATCAAGACTCCCAATAATAAAGATGGGAGAGGGAGGAATGCCAATGCCTTTCTTCTCTGTGCTCAGAGAAACATGCTACGGAAACCAACCCCAACCATTACTTCAACCCACCAACAGCAAATTGTTTTCTTGGCCAGAAAATCAAGGGGAAACGGCATTGACATTGGGGATGAAAATCAGTATAAAACTTTGCACCCCAAACACATCACTGGGAAATGCAGATTTTAAACAAACCCACTCCACCCCCAAAACATTTCCTTTGCCCTCCTTACCCCCCAAAATAGAAGAGTAAAAATCTTATTAAAATATATCTTTTTAAAGTTTCCATACACACCTGTTAAGAAGGGAAGGTCGGATTTGATTGGCTTAACAGAGAACAGCCCAGTCTAGATGCAAAGAATCATGGAAGAAACATCTCAGCCACCACCAGGGAGGAAGCAGGAAGGAGAAAGCTGCAGAGATAGTGGGGAGCAAGGGAATGGGAAGGAAAATAAATACACCCAATAAATAAACAGTAGGAACAGAGGGAAGGATTAGAAGAAAGAAACTCTGGGTATGGGGAGGGAAGAGGAGTTCTTCACACCAACAGTCCTTAGACCGCTGTTTCCATACACCTTCTGGCTCTATAGCACAATGGACAGACACAGCTTTTGGTGAAACCTGGATTCCAGGCCCATATTAGAATCTTGAGAATCTGGAGGTAGTTATTGTCTAGGTAGGAAACAACCTACTTTCTCTCTGCTACGAGCAAAAGAAAAGGGAGCTGCTATCAGCAAGTCTTTTCTCTCCTTATTTCCTCCCCCCTCCACCCCAAGGTGGAAACCAGAGGGCCCAGTTGTGGCATGCCTACAAAGGCGTTTGAGAAACCAGAGCAATCATGGGGGATGGGAAGAGGGGGGAAAGGGAGAGGGAAGGAGAGACTTGTGGGGACTAGCCTTGCCTAGCCTGGGCCTCTTGCCTCAGCTCCTTTTCCCACGCTCCCCAGAGCAAAGCCAGCCCTCTAAGACCGGTCTGTGATAGGTCCCATTTGCTCAGCTTTACCAGTTCAGGGTGTGTGCATGCAGGCTTCAGCAATCAACCATGCCCAGAGGAGGCTAGAGAACAGGTGTCCTGTAAGTTCTTCCTATGCCAAACACACCTGCTCATTCTTCTACCACTCCTACTTTCTTCTTTGAATGCAGTTCCCAAACCCAACAACATTGCCCACGAATGTCATCTCATTTCTTGTTCCACTTCCTATCCAAACTGAAATCTTACAAATGTCTTTCAACTATGACAAGCATCATCCTCCAGCCTCCTGAAATTTCCTTTACAGCTCTGCTGTTTAAGTCTCTTATTTCTGCCTCCAAGGTTGCAACTATCACTCAAAGAAAGTGTCTTTAGTATGTAACCTCTCCAAGTCATATTGGACTCCTTATACTTGAGTGCACAGGAAAAAAAGTCAATTTGAATCTTTTGATGTGGCAAAAACGTGGAAAAGGGCAAGCAGATTAAGTCTGACAAAAATTCTCCTTGTCACTTAGTTTCAACTGAAGCCCAGTTGCATTTCCTACTGACAGCCTCCACCCTGTAATCTTCCTTTGCTAAGAAAGGCCCAAACCATAACTACCATAGTTCATACAATGACAACCCTCCTGGCCACAGGGAAAAATTCTTCACCACAGTGCCACAATAGCTCCCTCTCTACTCCCTTTATTCTACTAGATCTATGCCAACATGGTAAGTGGCAGCAAACACTATAGATGAGAAAAACTTTATCTAGAACTTCTGGTTCTAAGAACATTAAATTTCTAGAGGTGAACAGGATCAAGGGGTAGGTTAAAATAGAAAAAACAATTAGGAGTTTAAAGTCCTGAGTTCTAACTCTAGCAAGGCCAAATACTTTATAGATGTACTGTTTTCTGCCAGGAGAATGTTAGCTCCTCAAGGGCAGACTTGATTTGGGGGTTTTGTCTCTGCATATTCAGCATCTGGAACAATGCCTGGCACAAAGGGTGTTATATACAAAGGCCTGGCTCAAAGCCAAAAACCCAAACAATTCCTAGCCTAAAGGAGCTTACATCCCATGGTCATAGCAGGGAGAAATAATATGTATGCGGGTAAATAAATCCAAACACAGGCAATATGGTGCCTCAGAGAGCCCGCCTTCAAAAGAGGGAAGATGTAGGTCCAAATCTACCTTTGATGCAGGTGATAACCTCTAAACACTTCTGACAACTCTCTAGGTTTTAAGGTGTGGTATAGTTGTCTATCTGCATTGGTAGGGCTTCTTAACAGAGTTCCTTGAACAAATGAAATCACAGGTCTGCATGTCAACAACAAAATACAATTAAAAAAATATAATTGAGAGGGAGAAAGTACTAATGCTTTGGGGTAGGGGGTCTGGTAAGAGGAATGCCTGATCTGTGCTTTAGACGAAGAAGCTTGAAGTGGAGGTAAGAAAAGAATCACTACCAGATAAAGGGAGCAAATTAGATGGAAAATTTACAGAGGAACAAATAACAGGCCAGTTTTGACTGAAATGGAGAGTAGGGGACAGAGAATAATTGGAAATGAATTTGGAAAGGTATGTGGGAGCCAGATTGTAGAGGGTTTCAAATGACAGAGGACTTTGTATTTAATCTTAGAGGCAATAAGGACCATTGAAGATTTCTACGAATTGGATCCATCTAAAAGAAACAGGACAAATAATTTTCCTACTTTCGAGTGATCATAAAATGAAACAATTCAGTCTCATTTACATGTAGTCACACTTCTACTTCTTCCAAGAATACCATACAAAGCTTCATTTCTTTAGCTTTGTGAGAATTTCAAATCTAAGGTGGTCCATAAGAAGAGATAATCATACCAATCAGTATACTAAAACAGGTTCTCTAAGGTAAAATCAACTTCAAAAGCAAAGATGAGAGAGGCATGGCTGGGCACCAGTTTGATTTAATGAGAGCTGGGGGTGGGGGGAGGGGGTGCTCAATGGACTGCAATCTCAGTTGGCACCAGTATAACATGGCAGCCAAAAAAGTGACTAAATCTTCAGCTGCATTAACAGTAGCTTAGTGTTTGGAACTAAGGAGGTGACTGTCCAGTTCTGCCCCAGTCAGACCACATGTCAAGTTTTGTGTTTAGTCCGGGCACATTTCAGGAAGGATATTGGTGTTATGGAAAAGGGCCAACTGAAGATCAATAAGATGCAAGAACTGGGATGTTTAGCCTGGTGAAGAAAAGACATAGGGACAATAACAGTTATCTTCGACCTACAGACATAATCAAGCACAATGGAAAGAGTACTGGACTTGGGAGTCAGGGAGACTGGTTTCAAATGCTGACTCTTACATTAGCTGTGTTAAATGTGAACAAATCACTTAACTTCTCAGTCTGTTTCTTTATCTAAAAAATGAAGATAATAACTTATTATTTTAGGGACTGTATAAGGTAATGTATGCAAGGCACTTGAAAAACCTTTAAAGTGCTATATCAATGTCAACTCTTCCTATTCTACTTGGTCCCAGAGGACAGACCTGGAAACAATGGGTGGCAGTTGCAAAGAAGCAAATTTAGGCTTAAGCTAGAGAAAAAAAAATCCCAATAATTATAGCTATCCAAAAGTGGAATGGGCTACCTCAGGAGATAGTGTGTATGTCATAGAAGGATTTTTATTAAGATATATATCAGACTAAATGGACTCTGGGCTGCCTTCTGAGTCAGTGAATAAGTAGTCCAATAAAATTGTACTTTTAAAAATCACAAGTCATAGAATCAGAACTGGAAGGGACATTTCACAATCTGCTTAGTCCAACCAAGCCCTGATCAAGAATCCCCCCTCTACAACATCTAACTAGTAGACATCTCAACTTCTCTAGAAGGCCTTACTTCAATGAGGAAGAACCCACTACTCTTCCAGAGGTAGCACATTTCCCTTTTGGACAGAATCACAGAATTGGAAGGGACCTCAATGGCCAATTCCCAAGAAACACTAAATAGTTTAATCCCAAGAAACCCTAAATTATAAAGAAATTTTTCTTTATATCTAACCTGAAGTTGTGCCTACAAGTTCCACCCACTGCTCCTAGTTCTGCCCACTGGGACCAAACAGCACACATTTAACCACTCATACTTGATTTTTAGATGCTTAAAACAAGAATAGAGTCTCTCTTCTTCAAATAAATTAGTAATACTTCATAAAAATAAAACTCTCTACTTAAGTGTTTATGAGTGTATGTATACAGCAAACCAGAAAGTGAATTCCCAGTGTCCTGACCTCCCATGTTGTGACTTGTAAGGAATTTTGGAGAAGCATTTAATTACCTAAATTAGTGTTTGCCTCAAAGGTCATGGATATCATTTTTAATTCTTGGGGAACCCTTAACATACCCAAAAGGATAGTCATTTTGTTCCTACTGCAAAGGAATATAAACCAGTACTTTACAGACATATATCTCAGCACAGAGCAATGCTTCCCACAGTGGGTAACAAGGTTCAAATTCTACCACCCCGTTTTGCTAGTTAGATATAGAGGGAGCACACTATGAAAAGAATTCCAGTCTCTCTATTCCCATGTGTTTCACTTCTAATGTCAACCCATTCCTACCAACTCTACCCCTCTGCCATTCATCTAAAGAGTCACATTAGATTCATTCTGTGTCATGACTTTCTCAGGAAAGAAATCATGTTCTTTTACTCTAAAACCCCATTACTAAATAGCATACTTCTACAAGACCCAAAAGATTTCCTCTTTTCCTCTTAGGTACACTGTGGGGGGAAAAAAAAAATCCTTCTCCAGCCCAGAAGCTGTATTTGAGAATTGGCCTTTACCTGGGTGGTGGCCATTTCAACATTTCCCCGTGACTCTGCTTTATTCCAAACCTGGTTCTCTTATAGCACTAGTAAGGAAAACGAATGCATCTTACAGGAAACACAATGAGGAAAGAGTCTTATTTCAACCCATCAATAATCCTCATGGTTAAATGTAGTTGTGTGAGCAATCTCTCTAAAGGAAGAAAAACATTCTGAATGGACTGGTGTTAAACATAAAGAGACAAGTCTGGAGTAAAGAGGCAGCTGTAAGCATCAAAAGAACAGAATACCAAGTCTCTAGATTGTTCACTAGTTGCATGATTGTAGACAGCCAAGTTGCTTAACATCTTTCAGTCTTAACTGTACATCAAAGGAGCTGGACTGCTGTCTGTGTCCGTTTTAGTTATGTCTATGATTCTAAAACACTTTTAATTGAGACCTGGACCTCAAAAGGGGAGTGGGATAGTAGCCATAGGTCAACACGGTACTTAAAATCTATTCAGTTTTATTATTCTGACCTTTGTGCTCTATCACTCTTTCTGGTTTCAAACTATGACTTACCTGGGGAAAAAAAATAGTTAACTTCTACTTTTGAAGATGAAGGCCAGATGGGAATTTCATTTGCTTCCTCCAAGTATTCTATGGGGCCTTTCCAGTTAAA